AATTGTGATCAGCTGCAGCCAGCATGCCTAATGGTCAGGGATTATGGGAGCTGTCATTCAAAGCATCTGCAGTGCATAGTTTGCCTGCCCCAAGCCAACAATGGCTCTTCTCTTCTTCTCGTCTCGTCTCGTCTCGTCTCGTCTCGTCTCTTCTCTTCTCTTCTCTTCTCTTCTCTTCTCTTCTCTTCTCTTCTCTTCTCTTCTCTTCTCATCTCTTGGTGCTAGCAGTAATTCGCATGCCATGCACTAATTTCCAAGAGCAGTAGCTAGGCAGTAGGGGAGAGTGTTAGACCCCTTGTCCCCGTGTACAATTTTACAATTCTACCTGGACTGGAGCTGGGGTTTCCTCTTACTTCCAAGTAAAACCAAAACATTGAGAGAGCGGCACACTACAAATTTATAGTGCCACGCAGTTCCCTCTTTCAAGCCTGGAGAACCCCGAGGGCTGTCCTTGGCCTCATGCTGACTTTCAGAGACCCTGAAAAACCAGGGAGGCCACTCACCCTGGAGAAATCGCTTCACACAGAGTGTCACCCTGAACAACTCCCATGAGATGAAATGTGTGCTTGCCATTAACAGTGCACACTTGTGGACCCTAATAATTGCATGCACACACACACACCACCTCCTTGCTTTGCTATTTCCCGGTTGCAACAACAAAACAAAGTGTGCATATGCCAAGGATTTCTCATATTCCAGCTTGTCCACATGTGATGAGAAGACCATGTTCAGACCATCTGCAGTCATGGCTGTCTGGCAACTGTAAACCAAACTACTGACAAAACCAGCTCATTACGATTGTCCAAAACAGTCAGGATATTTCTCTCTGCATTTATATATGTATGTTCTCTCTGTATGTGTAAGTTGTGCTATTCTACACGGAATTCCTCCCATCAAAGACCAGTCTTTAAGCGCCATTAGCAAAATGGTGCAAACTGCAGCAAAACCCACAACGAGCATCAAGGCAGGAATTTAAAATGCAATGTCATGGCATGTAACTTAATCCATTGATCAACTAAACATAGTTCAGGAAAACTAAGTATCACCTAAATATGCATATGGTTACAGTTATGATTATAAACAATCCTAAGATTCGTCTGCTAATATTTGAGAGTTTCAAAATATTGAAAACACAAATATTAAACAAAGCAATCTTAAAACAACACAGAACACAGACTAGCAGAATTACTAGGCAATTATTTTTTTATGATTTGGTATAATTAGTGTTTTAAGTCAAAACACCCTGAATGAAAATGAAGAAGAAGAAATGGGCGTAGTCAGGAGATCACTGTCTCGTGCCAAGCTTTTTTTTTTTTTTACATAAACAATACGTGAAATACAGCCTCCGACTTTTTGCAAATAAAAATACCGACAGTCTTGTGTACCTCTGCTCTCATACCCCGTGTGTTGCTTACATTTCTCTTGTGCTCTCCATTACATACTGCAGATTATATTTAAGCCACTAATAAACAGTTAAGTTATTTTAAGCCACTAATAAATTACTGAAATCACTAAGGGTGTCATCCAGTACCTTCCACACTCGATGCGCTTTCCAAACTTGGAGGGTTCTGTGCATCCAATGCACACCATGCACCCCGATTTCACCGTGTACCCGGACGGCTGTTTTCAGCAGTCTGGGTCAAGAACTGCAGAGGGGAAAGGAAGGGACTCTGAAGCCTTTTGGATAAAGGCATCGGCCCTAGTCTCCTTTCCTCCCTGTTCCTCTGCACACCCTTTTTCCTGCTCTCTGAGGCTGAACACCAAGGTTAGACAGGCAGCTGGAGCAGTTCTTTCCATGCCAGCTGCAATGGGGATGGGGAATCCCTCAATTTCGGAGCTGAGATCAGAGGACCTCAGAGGAAGACCTCCAAATACTTACATGCCCCCAAAAAATGTCAGAGTGCCATAGGATTGAAACCTAAGCAACTTGAAGTTACTAGTTTCTCATAGTATTGGCTGATTTACTCCAGTCTATTTTATAGTATTTATACTTGACATACCATGCTTTTAGTGACATACTCTGCTTTAAAAAGCTCCAGCTAACTATCATGCCATGGCTGACCTAATGAATAGCTGCACTGGCACAGTGTTTACAAAAAGAAAAAGCACCAAGCCCCATCTCATTACCGTAATGTAGTGCTTAGACATTTCACTAACCTTGAGCATATCGTTTTTAATAATTGCTGGTGCAAAGCACACCCATCTTTCTCAGAAGAAAACCCTAACTAAGTAGCACTGTAAGCAATAAAATAAAAATGATGATGATGAACTTAAGCTAGGGCGTTTTTTACACTCTGGAGCAGATAAAGGGATCCACAAACTCCCCAAAGAGGGTTCTGTATGGCCCAAAATTCAGGCATGGAGTGATGAAGTAAAGAGAGACAAGGAACAGGGTGTGTGTGCAAGTGAGAGATGAAGTCAGAGGAAAAGTATGTTTTGTCTGAAAAGAGAGGACATCTCCGAGTTCAAACACTTCCATTTCATTTAATTCAGAAAAAATCTGCATACGCATAACGAAGCTAGACTAGGATCCCCATGTGAAGGGTAGGGAATCTGCGATTCTACTCCTCTTCACAGAGTTCAACACGATAGCTAAAAAGTTCTAAGGAGCAGTGTTTCTGTGTTAGGGGATTCCAAGGACAGTGCCACACCTTACGAATTCTTTGCAGTTCTTTTTTTCCAGTTTTTTCCTCTTCATACACAGTACAGCCAATTGACGCTGCACTTTGAGGCTTTGTTCATATACCCTCACAATAAGAATCCAGATTTACTAAGATTTCCATAACTTTACTCATGTAATGATTCCCAAACGAGTTATGTGTAGTCTTTGTAGGATACGTTGTTCCACCCCTTTGCTCCACGGGGACTGGAACATGTCTGAATTTGCTTTCTAATCTCTAGCAGTCTCCTCAGTTACAACATGCAGGTTGATATATTATAAGGACACACCGAGGAGACAGACAAAACGTCCACATTGGCAAAGCTAAGCCTGCTAAATCAGGAGCCACCGAATTTTAACCTTGCAGACACCTGAGTGTCTGGTGGCCCTCTGGGACATATCTTGTATGCTTTGCAGTTTTTCTGTGCTATGGGTAAGCAGAACAGTGCTCTTAAGACATTGAATCATATACTTTCATCGAGGCGTTGGTTGCCTTTCCAATACAACTGCCAGTGCACCAGATGAAAAGCAATCCCTTCCCATGAGTCTTTCTCCCCCTCCCTCCCACCAGGCTTCCCACCCCTCCTGGCCTTTCTTGACACAAGGAAGTGGTGTTGGTTACTACTTGACTGGGGAAGGCTTGCGTGCTGCAAAGCACAGTGCCATCTTTCTTGCCAAGAACGCTTCTGGTCCAATATGGGCCCTCTGAGAAGATACAAATGATGGCTTGTTTTAAGCTGTGCCCAGTTACACAGAGGAAAGTGGGGGAAATCATCTGGGCACAGTAGAGACCATCCAAGGGGACGAGAGGAGGGTGTTGGACCATGCCAGGGAATGGGGTGCTTTGACAGCGTTCCGTGTTTCTGTGTCCCTGTTGTCTTTCCAAACACTAGGTGTTTTGTCTGGGTGCTGTGTGCATGAGGGTCTGTGCATTTTGCTTGAGGCCGTGTGTCCTTGTCTTGCTGGGTGGGTGTTAAAATGTTTGGCTTTTAGGAGGAATGAGGGGGCCATTTGCTTGCTTCTGCGTGCATCTGTGTTCCCCTGAGAAGCATCAGTTTGTCTTCGGTGAAATGCTAACTTGTTCTGTGTTGCGGGAGCAATCGTGCAGACAATCCTGGATGGAGCATTTACCTACTGCAGACTAGTGCTCTGTTGAGGCACAGTCCAAAACAAAACCCAAATCAAACACGAGAGGGAGCTTTGCATGTCAGAACAACCCGTCCCCACCTGGGAATTTTACTCATGAGCAATCCCATGGGGGAACTGGATGACAGCCACACTTAATTTTCAGCTTGACTGTAGCTTCATGTGTTGGGCCACAATCCAGGGATAAGTGGAGCGCTTTACAAGTCATTCCATGGGAACAGTGCCGGGTTTAGGCAGTGCTTGTAATCCATGATGGGTTGTTGTTTCATCTGAACCCAGTCAGTTTGAAGAATGGGAAGTCAGCTCAGACAAAAAGACCAGAACCCAGAGAAATGTGCAACCGGTTCTTTGGCCATGCACCGCCAATGGGGGTTTGGGCTTCACAGCAGCTCCCCATGCTATAAAATAAGCCACTTTCGATACTCAATCTAGGGATCCATCATGCTGATGTACATATATTTGATATGCAGGTAATGCAACGTGTTCCCTGTGTTTCCATTCAAATTAAGAAAATGGAAGGAAGTCTCCTATGGCCTTTAATGGATTTCAATCAGGTTACAACCTTGCATGAATGCTAAGCAGGTATAACTGCAGTCTACCAGATCTGAGCCCAATATATGTAGGACAACAGACACAGAGCATTTCATTCACCTGTATCATTAGTATTTTTCAGTTGGTGATACAGTCTGACCAATATGGACATATTGGAGAAGACCAAGGGCCATGTTATACTATAACGTAAGACATATACTGGGTTAGCCCAATTTTATTGCATAGACTCATGTCGCAGTAACAGGTAAGGAAAATTTCTCCCTCAGCAGAATCACAAATGACTGTATTTTTAAAGCACACCTGGCAACTATTTCAGCAATAAGTGAATTGGCTACCCTTCATCATGACCAAGCAATCTGGTTATTTTTACAACATTTTTGAAGATTGTGTTTGAAATACAAAACCTTTCAAGTCCTTTGTGCAAAACTTTAATTCTCTCACCAACTATTAGTAGTTTAAATAAGCTATATCCCTTACAAATATTTAAATATTTATACCATTTGTGATAGATATTGTTCCTTGCAAAATTCAGGAATATGAATACTCTTTATCAATTTAATGTTTCACAGCTTGAAGCTGTAGTTCTCTTCCCACTAGGTTTTACATCATGTGTATCTGAAAGGTTGGCCTGACTTCCACATACCTTCCATAAGCAAAGCGTCTGTCTTTGTGGTGGTCCCCAAATGTGTCCCAGAGTCTGAGAGAAACGCTCACTTCATCCACAACATCACGAGAACGTTCAAGAACCTGAAATAGGCATATTTCTGCACTTTAAAGGCTTGCTCCAGCTGCAATTGCCTGCAAGGACATTTAAAGGCATAAGATGCTCTAGGACAGCCTTTCCCAACCTAATGTCCCCAGCTGGCATTGAACTCCAACTCCCATCATCCTCCCAGAATGAAAGCTTTAGTCAGATAAGATTTGGGGACCTCAGGTTTGGAATGGCTGCCCTAGGACAGAGTCAAAGGTTTGATTTGGGCAGCACACCAAACTGTGGCTTAACTATGATCTGGCATGAGGTCTGAATTGACAAATCATTATTTCTAACAAGCTGCCAAACCAGAATCTGAAACCATGGTTTGAAACAAACTACTGGCTTGGCGTAACTGTGGATTGGCATAATCTCTAAATGGACTGTCCATATTTATAACCATCAGAACTTCAAATGCATAATAAAACAAATTATTTATTTATTTATATTTATATTGCGATTTAAATCCTGCCTTTTTCCTACAAAAGTCTCAAGGCAGCTTACATCATTCTCCTCCTCCATCTTATCCCCACAACAACAACCCTGTGAGGTAGGTTGGGCTGAAAGGCCGTGACTGGCCCAAAGTCACCCAGTTGGCTCCATGGCTGAGCGGGGGCTAGAACCCGGATCGTCTGATTATCAAAAATTGTATGTTAAAACTAGAATAAAACCAAAATAAAAACAAACATAGGAGCTAGCTGCTGTGCAAAAATGTGAAAACTGATGCAATTTCCTATGACTAAAAAGCCAGGGATTTTTTTTAATCTTCACCTTGCACCAAAAAGACTCTTTCAGTGCCAGATGAGCCTCTTTATGGGCAGACATTCCACAGCCTCTGAGAAGACCCTCACACTTGGCATCATTCAGTGCAAAAGGACACCTGGGAAAGACCTCTCAAAAGTATTTAAGGATGACAATGAAGCATAGAGTTTAGGAATAAGATTAGTATTGCTGAAAGTTGGGATTGTTTTAAAATTAGGATTATTTTAGGATTAGGGCGGTGGTACTTATTCTGCAATCCTATTCCCATTTACCTGGGAGTAGTCATACTTCAGGAGAGGCATGGAAAGGCACACATCATTAAAATGCAATGACAGATTGATGGCAGAGCACATCTGCCATTCCTGCTCAGCTTGTTAAAGTTGATCATACGTACCTCTTGGCAGACCCGATATTGGTCGATTGCCCAGACGGTGGGTACATGAGTTGCCAGCAGCTGATACTGGGTCAGAGTGGTGTTACATGCTCTTGCACAGATCAAGCGAGTCTTCCCCACTGCATTATCACCAACAACCACACATTTGATAGTTTCGACGTTAGGTCTTTCGTAGTCCATGTCAGCATCCATCTACCAGAGACTGCAACAAGACAATTAACACTGCTTTTTAAGACTGTACGGAATCCTACTATTCAAAACAGAGTTCTAGCTTTTTTTGGACTTGCTAAAGGGCAGGAGTGGAAGCTGAGACTAACATATGCTAACCTCAAGTCGGATTTATATACCCCACAGAGTTCATAAAACTAGGCAGTTGTTTTGACCTTGAATGCTTTCCTTCCCACTACTATGTTATTTTCTGCTTGCTTTTCTATAAACACAGACATGAAAGATAAAGCATGGTGGAGCCAAGGTTGTTTGGTGGAACAAATCAGCAACGGTCTCCCAGTTAAGAGCAGCTTTGCTGCAATCAGTTCACACCCTGCTCATTAGTATTTCCTTACAGCAAACTCAAGCACTGGAATGGTCCGACATGTACATTGTTCTTATTAAAAATGCAGTATTTGCAAAATTACAGGAGTGAAAGTTACTGATTAGTGGGGGAATCGCACTTTAGTCATATCCAGTTTATTGGAACAGAAATTAGCCTGAGAGAGTCCTCTGGCTCCCTACAAATTTGCTCCAGTACTGAATAAACCTGGCTCATCATAATTTGACCACAGTTTCTGATTTTGAATAAAATAAACACTTAAATGTGCATTGAACAAGCACTGGGGACTTGTAGCTGATCAGGGCTCAACAGTGACTACATGCATATATTTAAGGACATGTACTTTGACTTTTTACTTTGGGTTGTATCCAAGGTGCTGCCATTGTGCTAGAACACACTATTATGTGTGGAAACCTAATTTTCCTCCTTGTACAAGTGACAAATCCAGCCCTTTTGACTCTTCCTGCACAATCCATTTCACAAGTTAGCAAAGAAGCTGTTGCACAGCTAAGCTGTGCTTTCACGAGTGGTCCTACTAGCACTTGTGTAAATCCTTGTGGAACGCCCACCTCTAGTACGCTTTATGTTAGCCTAACTCTAATACAACCCTTTATGTCCGTTGTAAGCAACACCAACATAATCACGGGGCACCCAATTGCCACATAAAGCATTCTGGCAGTACAGAATCCTTCCACATCAAAATTGGGATATGGACTATAAAGATGCTTTTGAAATATCCACCAGTGTTTTCAGGGGTATAAAGCTTGATTGAACACACAGCATCACTTAACAACTGAAATAAGAATGTACCATTTTACAAGCGAAACAAAAGGAACCCGTATTTTATTCTGTCTCATGTCAACTTTAGTATCCTGTTATGCTGTATAGAATGCCTTGCATCTCTTTGTCCTGGTCTGTCTATCCTTTTTTTAATTTTAAAAGACAACTGACACCAGAAATGAGACTGACAACTTAGAGGCAAAAGTTCAAGATCACCGCTGTATGCCTGCAAACCAGATTCATGTTGAAATTAAAAGCAAATGGTCTAGCCAGCATGTGTAGCTGTATTTTCTCCTTATCAAACAGTGTTGGTAAAATAATGGGGTGGCTGTGCAGAAAACTTGCTAGAGGACATGCAAAATGCTTCCTTTTCTGCAACCTCTTGGAGAAGCACTAGCTGAAGTGCTGGTGGCTACCCTCCTTCATCTCTTGGGTCTTTGGATCCAACCAGGAGTAAAAAAAAAAGGAAATACCAAACACATTGGGCTTTTGCATTTCCCCATAAGAAAAAAGGGTAATCTTTCAGTGTAGGACAACAGTAAGTGTGAATCAGTGGGGAAGCCCACAACTCTCCAGATTTGGGGATTATGGAAGTCCTGTGCATAGCAGAAGTTCAGAGGCAAAAGGATTCCTAGTGCAGAACCTCGACCGAAGGTCAGAGCAATTTTCTGACTTGCAAGTGGGCATCCCAACAGTCCTTTGGCCTTCTAGACACGGTCGAGAAGCCAAAGGATTGCTCTTTCCACTACTTAATAATCAGATCGTTCATTGCTGAGATGTCCCTGGCTTCTCTCTCCCTCTCTCTCTCCCTCTCTCTCTCTCTCCAATCAGAGGAACACAGGAAGCTGTTGTATGCGCAGCCACACTACTGATGCCTCAACAGCAGTACTGTTGACACCACGGGCAGTCCCCGCAGCAAAGCACCAGACCCGCAGCAGAGCAAGCTACACACACACACACAGAGGACTAGCAAAGAAATATATACTGGTGTGGGAGATGAAATCTTGCATCTACAGGGACATATTTGTACAACATGTTGTAAATGTCTACATTGTAGAACTTTGCAACAGAGGGAAACAAGAAAGGATTCCCTTCCCATTTGCCACATAGGTGCGGAAGTGAACGAAGATTAAAACCACCAGGTTTTGCAGAAAACTAATCCTGAGGTTTGTTTAAACAGAAAGCTTCTGGGAAATGTTCAGTAGCTGTCAAAATATAATTAAATCTTTTATTGTTACTTTATTTTCCTACACATAAAAGCAATTTCAGAATTAAGGAACAGGTATAATTAGAGACATGTGTGCTATATCAGTTTTTTCACCCTGCATAACTGTAAAATATGCATTAAAAGCTTCTCATCTGTAGCTTCCAATACTATTCCACTGTTCAGTATTTGCTCTGTCCAATCGTTTATATCTTCTCAGATGCAATATGAGATGTTTTCATATTGGATGGACTTTTAGCTAATTTTACTTTTGCCTCAGTTAACACCTGAGACATAACAGAAAAACTCAATATTACCTACATAACCAAAAGCTCACACACTAAAGTGTGAAAGGAAATTAAAGGTGGTCTGATTTATTTTCCATTTATGGACAGTCTAGAATTGAGAATATATTTATATGATCTGGTCCTGCTGTCACATTTATGTAGGAAGCTGATGGATAAGGAAAACCAAATGGAGCATAATTCATAGAAAATTTGGCCCATGTATACAGTCTACTGTTTAGAAGGCAAGACAACAAAGATGAAGTCAGACGCTGATGTCATGAGGGGGAGAAGGAAAAGTAGCACAAAACGGGGAACCATGTTTGTATCCTCAGAAGAAACCGATCCAGGGCTACTCTGGTAGAAGAAGCCCAACATGGGCCTAGTTCTGATCGCCACACTAAATGTGCATCTGGGAAATATGTGCAGATGGGAAAACTTGCCTAAGCAAATGCTCTTCCGTATCAAAATTAACAGATGCACATTAAAAAGGCAGATTGCAGAGTAGAACTATCTGCATGCTCGTCTCTCCTTGTGGGGAAGATGTGTTTGAACAGAGGTCTTCCAAAGCAAGCAGATATGGGAGCAAGGAAGGCCATGAAGGCGGAAGTGCAATCTAGCTATAAACTGGCCAAGGAGTACGAACAAGTGGTGGAAGACGGCAGCACCTTTGCTACCTGTCCCCTAAGCTAGCCTGCATCCTTTAGGAATGGTGGGGGAAGCAGTTTCTTGCAACGTTAAAGAAACTTTCAACGGGCAAGTACCATCTGGCATTTGACTGCATGTGAAATGGATTTGGGGCATCTTGTCCTTTGCCACAAGCTGGGAAATATGTTAGGCAGGAAAACAACTTGTGAAGCATAGGGGGAAATGAAACCTTTAAGCTAGGTAGGGGTGTGTGTGTGTGTGTTTAAAGAAAACAGCTTGATTAAACATTTAGATCCCGCACATGATGAACCGTGCCACTGAATTATGCAAACAACATCTGGCAAACTCCACAGATCTGCTTATAGAAAGGGAGCATGAGAACACAGGCAACAAAATGATTAAAAGTGGACGGGGTGGTGGGCAGCGTTGCTGAGCAAAATCCACGCAAGTCCAGGGATTTTGACTCGCAATATCACAGCCATACAACATCAAAAGCTATGACTGTTGCTAATTTAAGCTTCTGCTAAATCTATTATGTAATCAGATGAAATAATAATAAAATGTATGTCCTAAACAGAAGAAGCCAAAACAGAACAAATGATTGCATTTTGATGGCAAGCATAGGTAATAAAATCAAGCAAGATAATACCAGATTATGGGGAGATACAGAAGTAATTTGGCAAGTAATGTTATAAAGGTGTGTCCAGCTCAGCTATAACATTTTAGTTCAGTGCTAATCTTCATGTGGTTTTCAAGCATAGGCACTTCTGTTAAATCCATGTATTTGGTTTTTTTTTAATCTCTGTCTCTCCCAAACACTTAACTTGCTTAATTGTACCCGTGATAAAGATGACGAAGTGAGCAAAAGGGTGGACAGGATTTAGGTAGAATTGTGATACTTTTGGGAACAAAATGTTTGGTTCACAAAATAGTAAGAGTTCAATATAAACAAAAGCCTGACTTTCCATATGTCAGGAAAGCAATCCTTTTAATTAAGGTGACAGGTATGCATTAACATTCCAAGCACAGAACAGCTCAAGTTGATTTTTTTTTTTTTTTTTTTGGTTGCAGCCAGACAGATCTAAGCTAATCCATGGAAAATACAAAATATCCTTTTTAAAGCAGCACTGCTTGCCAAAAGTGTGGGAAGCTGTTTTCAGTTGCGTTAAAGCTTATGCAAACTCTTCCTCTCTTCCTCTCAGCCCCAGCTTGGCCACCTCCAACGAGGAAGGATCCTTGACAGTGTCCGTTTTTCATTGCACAGGGAGGAAGCAGCAAAAGGAATCATGACTTTGACTGCTCTGAAATCATCAGCCCAGACTGGTTCCCAACCGACGGGGGTGGCGCTTTTTCCCAACCTGCGATCCCAAAGCTACATTCACTGGGTTCACAAACACAGGGGGCTTGTCATGTTGGGTGAGCTAGTCAACCCGATCATGGCTTCTCCTTCTCCATGCCACCTGACTGCAACCTTGATATGCAGCTTGCATGTAATTTGTCATCTTCGCTGCTTCCTCTCTCCAAATAGCAGGCATTAATTTCTATTATTATTCATTAACAGGGCGCTTCCCACAGTTTGTTCAGTGAAGAGATGCATGGCATAGAATCTCAACTCCAGCACAGTTGGATCTGCTCCTGCCACACAAGTTTCAATGGGGGCAATCACTTTCTAAAAACTGGGAAGAAAATATTTTCGTGGTAAACAGGGTCAGATAAGGTGACTCTTACTTTGGACC